TGAAAGCCATTAAAGGTGGGGTAGGTAATTTTGGAGAAACCAGCTCGAGATCGCTAACATTTGAAAATACACAGCCGGAAAAAATCTGCCACTTCCTTACAGAGCCCATCCTCCAACACACACGAACGTGCACATGACCAATGAGGGCACGAGATAAATTTGTGCACAGATGGAAGGCTGACAGGCAGGTAGGCCATCCAGTTATTTTAGCCGGGTCGGCTAAAATGATTGGTCGTGCTTTTTACAGTACTACGGCTTCCACAGATGAAATTTTAATGTATTTTTTGTCAAAGCACTTCAGATATTCATTGCTATCGGGATGTTAAGAGCATTCCATGGAATATAACAACAAGTGTATCTCGAGCCGGTTTCTCAAACTTACCTACCCCACCTTTAAGAGCATTAAGAAATAGTGCAACAGAAACATATTATAAGATGGCATTTAAAAACACTAATTTCAAAGCAAAGATAATAAAACATAAAAGATGAGGGAGCTATTAGACCACAGACAGAAACCTCTGGGACGATAAACACTCCGGAGCTCATTCAGAAACACAAATGGGGCGAAGCCTGCGAGCTAGTTCAGGCAGTCAACTCGAGCACCAATGATACATTAACACGTGATGCGCCTCGTCCCTCTTACAACCAACCAAACACATTCTCCTAAACATGCCGCTCTATTGAAGCTGCCAGGTCTTCCTGCCTCTGCCTCGCTATGCTGCTGCTGCACTGCTGTGTTCACTTGCTACTGCTACGTTCATGTTGCTGCTGCTGTGTTTCATGTTGCTGCTGCTCGCCTGCTCCACCACCACCCCAGCTTCACCCCCAGCTTCCACCCCAGCTTCCACCCCAGCTTCCACCCCAGCTTCCACCCCAGCTTCCACCCCAGCTTCCACCCCAGCTTCCACCCCAGCTTCCACCCCAGCTTCCACCCCAGCTTCCACCTCAGCTTCCACCCCAGCTTCCACCCCAGCTTCCACCCCAGCTTCCACGTGTAGGCTCGGGGGATAGTTATCTAATCATCACTCAATGTTCTTTGTAAATCTGTGGAGTGATGAGGCCCGAGCCTAGACGCCAAACTCAAACTATATGCTGCTTGAAACACGTGAGTGGTCTGACTGAACTAGTGATGTGTGGAGAGACTTTTTCACCTTCAAAATAAGGTAATGTTAGCGTGAACATGTAAAGTTTGTGACGCAGGGACTCGTACCGGTGCAGAGTTTCCGCAGAGAGTCGTACTGATATCCCGTCTGACAGTCACAGGTGTAGCTGCCAGGAAGATTGTGACAAATCTGACCGAGTCCACAGCGGTTTGTCCCCATCTGACACTCATCAAGGTCTACACAGGAGAGAGAAGATCATCGGGGTTTGGTACGTACTGTAAATGTTGAATTTCATTTGTATTTGTTACGTTCATGGTATCCACAACTTAATGTATAACAATTATTTACAAAACATGTCTCTATAAACACACCGTACCCGAAAAGCAGCAGGGAGAAGAAGATAATCTGATAGTACCTGCCCCTTTCTAGAAATAGATGGTCTGTCCTTCATATTTTCTTATTCACAGCTAATCATAACAGTATCGTAGGAAAATAACAGAAATACAAAAACGTACACAAATATACTTAGTTCCCACTTGACAGTTAACGGAAAGAAAAACAAAAAAACAACAAAACACCACATGAACAAGGAAGAGTGCAACATCTGAGTCCTACTGGAGTAGACGGGGGAATCTAATCTTCTACTGCCTGAATCTGCTTTATGCTTTTCACTTTCTTTGCTTCATTTGCTCTGTTTTTAATTCAGCAGGTGAACCTATATGTTCATAAAATAGTGTGAGTTTAACTGTGTGTGTTGTGTGTGGCTACTGACTGAATATGCTTCATGAAAGGCAGGCTTTAGTGTCAAAAAATGTTTGATCCTAAATATCTTGGTTTCTCCTTTCCTAAGGTCACATTGTTCTGTCTTACATAATAAGTAAAACACATCTTATTGATATTTATTTTCTCTAGTATTTATTTGCATTGCATTTTTTAATATTGAGGTAATCCAAAAGATACTCAGATTAAGTTACTGATTACATTTCTTTACAGGTAACTAGAAATGATAACAGAATTACAATATTTTGAAAGTGTCCCTCACTCATCATATCACCTACACTCACTAGCTGATATTCAGGCTCTTTCTCCTGATATGGGATTTTTATAAGAACACATTTGAGAAGAAACTCTTCAGCAGCAATGCTCTCATCTCCATCTTTCTGACATTGTGCTGTTGTGTTTCAGAGGAGCTTCTCACCGACACACTTGGCTCCATCAGAGCTGGCGCTGTACCCCGGGCTGCAGGAGATGGTCTTCTGCTGGCAGGAGAAGGACCCCACCGTGTTGATGCAGTTAAAACCAGAGCTGCACAACTCTCTGAGGCTGAGGCACTCATTGATGTCTAAAGAAACACACACAGAGAGAGAGGAGCAGGATGAGAGACAGCTGAGAATAACTGATGTGTTTACTGTCTTCCATAATACACCAGTACCAGTGGTAGAGAGTAACAGAGTATCAGAGGTAGAGAGTAACTGAGTATCAGAGGTAGAGAGTAACTGAGTATCAGAGGTAGAGAGTAACAGAGTATCAGAGGTAGAGAGTAACTGAGTATCAGAGGTAGAGAGTAACTGAGTATCAGAGGTAGAGAGTAACTGAGTATCAGTGGTAGAGAGTAACTGAGTATCAGAGGTAGAGAGTAACTGAGTATCAGTGGTAGAGAGTAACTGAGTATCAGAGGTAGAGAGTAACTGAGTATCAGAGGTAGAGAGTAATTGAGTATCAGTGGTAGAGAGTAACAGAGTATCAGTGGTAGAGAGTAACTGAGTATCAGTGGTAGAGAGTAACTGAGTATCAGTGGTAGAGAGTAACTGAGTATCAGAGGTAGAGAGTAACTGAGTATCAGAGGTAGAGAGTAACTGAGTATCAGAGGTAGAGAGTAATTGAGTATCAGTGGTAGAGAGTAATTGAGTATCAGAGGTAGAGAGTAACTGAGTATCAGAGGTAGAGAGTAACTGAGTATCAGAGGTAGAGAGTAATTGAGTATCAGAGGTAGAGAGTAACTGAGTATCAGAGGTAGAGAGTAACTGAGTATCAGAGGTAGAGAGTAACTGAGTATCAGTGGTAGAGAGTAACTGAGTATCAGAGGTAGAGAGTAACTGAGTATCAGAGGTAGAGAGCAACTGAGTATCAGAGGTAGAGAGTAACTGAGTATCAGAGGTAGAGAGTAACTGAGTATCAGTGGTAGAGAGTAACTGAGTATTAGAGGTAGAGAGTAACTGAGTATCAGAGGTAGAGAGTAACTGAGTATCAGAGGTAGAGAGTAACTGAGTATCAGAGGTAGAGAGTAACTGAGTATCAGTGGTAGAGAGTAACTGAGTATCAGAGGTAGAGAGTAACTGAGTATCAGAGGTAGAGAGTAACTGAGTATCAGTGGTAGAGAGTAACTGAGTATCAGAGGTAGAGAGTAACTGAGTATCAGTGGTAGAGAGTAACTGAGTATCAGTGGTAGAGAGTAACTGAGTATCAGAGGTAGAGAGTAACTGAGTATCAGAGGTAGAGAGTAACTGAGTATCAGAGGTAGAGAGTAACTGAGTATCAGAGGTAGAGAGTAACTGAGTATCAGAGGTAGAGAGTAACTGAGTATCAGAGGTAGAGAGTAACTGAGTATCAGTGGTAGAGAGTAACTGAGTATCAGAGGTAGAGAGTAACTGAGTATCAGTGGTAGAGAGTAACTGAGTATCAGAGGTAGAGAGTAACTGAGTATCAGTGGTAGAGAGCAACTGAGTATCAGAGGTAGAGAGTAACTGAGTATCAGTGGTAGAGAGTAACTGAGTATCAGTGGTAGAGAGCAACTGAGTATCAGAGGTAGAGAGTAACTGAGTATCAGTGGTAGAGAGTAACTGAGTATCAGTGGTAGAGAGCAACTGAGTATCAGAGGTAGAGAGTAACTGAGTATGTTTAACAAAAACATCTTATTGATATTTATTAACGCTCATTAATTTAATTTACCATTTGATGCTGAGGTCATCCAAAAGCAGAGGTGAGATAAGTACTCAAGAACTAGATCTTATTTTTGAGTAAAAGTAGAAGTACTCAGATATTGTTCTTGATTAAAAGTAGAAGTACTCAGATCTTGTACTTTAGTAGAAGTACTCAGATCTTCTACTTGAGTAAAAGTAGAAGTACTCAGATCTTGTACTTTAGTAAAAGTACTCAGATCTTATAGTTGAGTAAAAGTAGAAGTACTCAGATCTTGTTCTTGAGTAAAAGTAGAAGTACCAGAGTGTAGGAATACTCTGTTTCAGTAAAAGTCCTGCATTCAAAATGTTCCTCAAGTAAAAGTAGAAAAGTATTATCATCAAAATATAGTGAAAGTAGCGACAGTAAAAGTAGTCATTGTGCAGATTGGTCCATTTCAGAATAATATATATGATATGTTTTATAATGATTGATCATTAAAGTGTTCTCAAAGCTGGTAAAGGTGCAGCTAGTTTTTAATAAAATGGAAATACTGAAGTACAAGCATCTCAAAATTGTAATTAAGTACAGTACTTAACTAAATGTATTAGTTACTTCCCACCTCTGTCCAAAAGTAACGGAAAGCAAATATAATGGATTATCATTATTATTTTTTTTAAACCTTCCCACTCTGGAAGTACTCATGGCCATACCTCCTGATATTACAACAGGAAAGAGGGATTTCATTTGTTAATTCAATACAAAAACTAAAGAGTAAAAATGATGAACTGTGGTTTTATTGGGGGTTGGCCTGATTCTTGTCACTGTGAGGTTACCATTCAAACAAAGACAGTTTCTTACCGATACAGTTTCCATGGGAGTCCTGTGAGAATCCGGTGATGCACTTTGGTTTGTGATTACAGAGGAAGGAGCCGAGTGTGTTCTCACACACGAAGCCAATGCCACAGTTATGGGTTCCCAGAACACACTCGTTAATGTCTGAGAGTAAAAGAACAGAAAACAAACATTTCATTTTGACAAAAATAATCAAACACACTTTTAGTCAAATGTAAAAAGTTAAGGACCCAATTTATAATACCCACTTTCACTCCGTTGGCCCGTTTGTGAGGAGGGTCCAACAGATTAACAATGTGTTGGAGCGCTAGCCAATATAATCACAAGTGTCAATAGTGATGTCACTGATGTTCAGGAAGTAAACAAGGGAGTCCAATAGAGGCGTTTGCAGACCATTTACATGCACACAAAACTATACAACACACTACAGGGGAGGGAGAACCCCCAAAAGAATAAGAAAATGCAATATTGTAATTCAGTTTTTTATACTTTAAGATCATATATACCCGTGTCTAATCTAGATAACTGTAGACTTGGGCATTTGATTGTAAAATAACCTTGGTTGGTGATTGGCTAATGGTCACACAAGCCAAAACATCGTTATGACATCATAAAGTGGCCAAAATCTGATCAGCTCATTTTCAGACAGGTTTTTATATAAATGGATCAGGACAAAAAGAGAGAGAATCTTTGTTCCTGAAACTTTCAGAGTCTCTTTCCACAGAGAGGACACATGTTGATGTAGAAGAGACATGAAGAAGAGGGTTTTGCATAATAGGTGACCTTCAGCCTGACAACAGACAGATTTCACTCCATCCCAGAGTCTATGTACTGTAGGTGGTTAGTTTGAAACTGGGTCTAAATGTGCTGTCAACTCTCATTCAGTAAACCGTACAGTAGGTGGCACTGTGAGTCAAGCAAAGAATAAAGATGTGCAGAATCACAAAAACATCACAGTCAAAACTTTAAAAAAGAAATTCCCCACCTATACAAATCTGCAATTAACAGAAGTTGAACAAAACTTCCTTAATGACAGTTATTGAGTCTCACGTTCCCGGATGAGTCCTTAGCAGAAGGTGGGGTTGTTCTCTACCAATCATCATTAGAGGGATGTACTCCCAGCATCACAGCAGTGATCTCTCCTTTCTTTCATGGAGCTAATTAGTTTTCTCCCTGTTGGATGGTCGGCTAAATATTTCCTCTATTATCTTAGCTACATGTACATTGATTAGTCCTCCTCTGTGCAAAGTGCTTTACCGCCCGCACAGAACCTTCTCTGTGGATGATTATCTTGTCAAAAACTGAATCTGGGCATCTGCTGAAGCACAAACAACACGGCAGGGGCCGAAATCATTAGAGTACATCGCAATGACTGAGCGAAAATCACGACTACAGTAGGAAGAAAGAAATGAAGAGAGAGTTTGTGAACATGTCTAATGCTCATGGCTTTCATCTAAATGAGGTGTCTAAATATAACCTGGTCCTGTTAAAGAGCAACTATCTGCCTTCAATGATTGCAGGACTCTCCAATAGCCTCACCACCACCTGTAAGTAATGGGAACAGTGATGCATTGTGGGACATTGCGGTCATCTTTGTAGGATCCCGTCTATATAGCAACAGGAGCAGCCGTCAATATAAATCCGCTTTCCAGGTCATCTGTCAGCGGCTTTGCGTCCAATATGCACTTACAAAGAGAAGCTCTGCGCAGAAGCAGAGGAGTGTTGTATAAACAAATAAAGTTGTTTAATGACGTCCCTATTTCAATTAAGAGAAGAATGGACCGACCGCTGTTACTGATGTCGGTCCTCTGGTGTTTTCAGATAGGGTCTACATTTCAATTTTACAAACGATGGATACAGGACCTTCAAATGTACAGGACAATAATTCAGACTGAGTAATGTTATGCTAACTAAATGCTAACAAAATGACGGTTTATCATGCATAATTGTTCTACCGGTGTATTTATGTATACTGTGGTGATTCATGTTTTAAATCGTATTCCCTGTCTAGTGTTTTTACTGTAGTTCAGCAGTAAACGGTTAGCAGTTGACTTCCATCCAACTTATTCAGGGTCTCATGCTAATGTTGGCTATCTCCCCCCTCAATTCCAAGCTTAAATGAAATGCAATCCCATGGTCCGTTATGTTTGTTGCTCAAAGAAGTTGATGTTACAGCTACGACATCAACAGTGTCTTCAGACCATGTTTAAAAGTTTAAATTGAAAAGGCTACGCTACTCGCTAGCAGTGGTGTTAAGTAACTAAGTACATTTACTCAAGTACTGCACTTCAGTACAACTTTGAGATACTTACTTAACTTGAGTATTTCCATGTTATGCTACTTTGTACTTCTACTCTACAGTTCAGAGGTAAATGGTGTACTTGTACTCCACTACATGTATTTAATACCTTTAGTTACTTCACAGATCTGGATGAATGATGTGAAATATAATCAAGTGTTAAATCAGACTTTAGTTCCACCTGGAGTAAATTCACAAGCTACCCTGCAGTATACAAAGTCATTACAACTAGCTGCACCTTTACCAGCTTTGAGAACACTTTAATGATCAATCATTATAAAACATATCATATATATTATTCTGAAATGGACCAATCTGCACAATGACTACTTTTACTGTCGCTACTTTAACTATATTTAGATGATAATACTTTTCTACTTTTACTTGAGGAACATTTTGAATGCAGGACTTTTACTGTAACAGAGTATTCCTACACTCTGGTACTTCTACTTTTACTCAAGTACAAGATCTGAGTACTTCTACTTTTACTCAAGAACAAGATCTGAGTACTTCTACTTTTACTCAAGAACAAGATCTGAGTACTTCTACTTTTACTCAAGTACAAGATCTGAGTACTTCTACTTTTACTCAAGAACAAGATCTGAGTACTTCTACTTTTACTCAAGTACAAGATCTGAGTACTTCTACTTTGACTTAAGTACAAGATCTGAGTACTTCTACTTTTACTCAAGAACAAGATCTGAGTACTTCTACTTTTACTCAAGAACAAGATCTGAGTACTTCTACTTTTACTCAAGAACAAGATCTGAGTACTTCTACTTTTACTCAAGTACAAGATCTGAGTACTTCTACTTTTACTTAAGTACAAGATCTGAGTACTTCTACTTTTACTCAAGAACAAGATCTGAGTACTTCTACTTTTACTCAAGAACAAGATCTGAGTACTTCTACTTTTACTCAAGTACAAGATCTGAGTACTTCTACTTTTACTTAAGTACAAGATCTGAGTACTTCTACTTTTACTTAAGTACAAGCTCTGAGTACTTCTACTTTTACTCAAGAACAAGATCTGAATACTTCTACTTTTACTCAAGAACAAGATCTGAGTACTTCTACTTTTACTCAAGTACAATATCTGAGTACTTCTACTTTTACTTAAGTACAAGATCTGAGTACTTCTACTTTTACTTAAGTACAAGATCTGAGTACTTCTACTTTTACTCAAGAACAAGATCTGAGTACTTCTACTTTTACTCAAGTACAAGATCTGAGTACTTTACCACCTCTACTCACTAGCCCTACAGGTGAAGTCAATAGATTGCGGTCCAAGTACTCTCTAAAGATGGACGCCCTGATGTTGATAACACACATTTCCATTCCCTTTTCATGATACACTTGTTTTCATGGTTTTGTGAGAGCTTAAGGGTTCCTTTAAGGACAGATCCTTCTCTGTTTCTGGAGATACTATTAGAAAGAGCAATATCATTATGCATGGCCTCAGTTGGAGCCAGGGCTGTTGGACCTGATGTTGGATCCTCTCTAAATTACTGAGAACCTGACAACACTAAGTAACTCCAACACAAACACAGCCTTGTGCCAAGTTGAGTAATGAGGTGGAAACACAAAGGAGGTAATGTTGAGAGCCTGATACCATGAAGCCTGTAAATACATATCAATGAGAATCAGGGGTTTAAGCCACCCAGAATCCCTAGGTTTCCTTTGCATACTGGAATAATCTGCAGCTCATGACTCACGCCAAGGTTTATTTGCCATAACAATATGTTCCTAACCTTTAAAGGAGCCCTATTATGCTCATTGTCAGGTTTGTATCAGTATGTAGTGTCTCTACTGTGACATGTTTCCATGCTTTAATGTTCAAAAAGGTCTTTATGTTTGCGTGTGTGATGGAGAAACACAGGGATTTTAGCCTTTGCAGACCATTTACATGCACACAAACCTATATTACACACTACAGGAAAGGGAAAACCCCCTAAAAGCATAATAGAGCCTCTTGTGCCCTAATGTTGCAATAAATGGGGGATTTAAAGAATAATTTCATATCTTTGGGAACTACGTAAGATAGGAAGATCCATATTAACTCTCAACTCTGTCCTATAGGTTACTGATGACACATTACACTTTTAAAGTTACCCCCCCCCCCCCCCCCCAACCGTGAGCAATATTGACTTAGTGTCAAATGACAGGGGAGGAGATGGATTTTAATGTTATTATAGTTGACTTAAAATAGTTTTCTATCTGTTTTTTTAATTATTGTTTTACTTTTATGTATGAACCACAACACCAAGTCAAATTCCTCGTGTTAACCTACCTGGTAATAAACCTGATTCTGATTCTGATTCTGAAACACAGGGATTTTCACCTTTGCAGACCATTTACATGCACACAAACTTGTATAACAGACTCCAGGGAATGGAGAACTATAAAAGCATGATAGAGTGGTGCAGGGATGATGTATTTACCCGGAAGTAAGCTGCTGGTTCCCTCGACAAAAAAGCAATGGGATATCTCCATAGGAAAATAGCTCGAAATAAGGTCTGTGGAAAACGAACCTGTTTGATAAATGCACGTTTTGTTCAGCCGGATAATCTCCACATGTCTACCCTACTTTTATAATTTTCGAATCATAAATCTAATCGCCAGAAGCAAAATGCTAACGTTATGCTATAAAGGAACTACAGCAGCATGACTTCAACGTCACGCCAACTTAAGATCCATATTCAAACATCCAGATTCTAAATGGTCCAAGTTGAAGCGTTTGTTTTAACAGTTTGCAGGAGGTAGGTACTTGCTTTCAAGCCGAACAGGGCAAACACACTTAGCGGGAGTGTTTACAGATGTAGCAGCTAATTTAGGACAGTTTGAA